TCTACTACCCTGGGGTGGTGGATGCCATAACAGTAGTTTTTCTTTATTTTATAAAATGATAAGTTTATCTCATTCTCTGGAGTAAAGAAATCACATGAAACAGTGCTCACAGCTGTCCCCATATTATGGTATCATTTTGACCAATAGCAGGAGGGGCTGAGTTTTGGATATGGGGAGGAAGACAAATCCGGCTGAAGTCCCACCTTTCCATTTTGAGTCAGGTGCTGATTGTACTGAAGTCATGAAGACAGCTCGTTAGCAAGATACTCAATGTATCATACTCATTCTTCACCCATTAGAGTTCAGGTCAAATTCCCCTGAATCAATAATCTTTTCCTTGATAAAATCTATGGAATACTGACAGACAGCAATATTATGAACTAAGCCATATGAAATTGATATTATTTGAAAAATCCTTACCTGTAAGAATGATGTATTTTCCAACCGATAGAGCAAGTATTCAATCAGGTTTCAGTTCATCCTTAATTGGACCACAAATAAATAGCTTTTGAAAATAGCTTTGAGTCTCCTAAAAAAAGAAATTCCTAAATATATATAAAAGTTTATGTTTCTGTGTTCATATTCCTTCATTTTTTGGACAAGAGAGGGGGACAAAATGTTAATAAATTTTCCATGGAATACATTGTTTCCAGCACATCTCACATTAAAAACAACCGTTAGAATTGTGCAGAACTTAAAGTGGGGGAAATCCCAGTTTTTTTCCCCTCTAGTATTTGCCTATGAGAATCATTTAAGTTTCAGAATCCACATTTCTCCTCAATAATATAATCTTCATATTCTAGGGTTATTGAGAAGTAGGAAGAAAAACCCAATGAGCTTTGCTTGGGCTGCAGCAAAATACACAGAGACATCATGCAAACACAGGAGAATGTCTGCCCAGTGTGTCCTGGTTCAGGGTCTTCCCTCTCCCCTGGAATCAGGAAGAGCCATAGACGAGTGAATATGGAAAGGCCCAGAAAGAACAACCACACAGAAACTAACTCAAAGCATTCTCAAACCTCAAGGAAGATTCTTTTCAAGTTTGTGGTACAGTTTCAGGGTCTGCTTTCCTCTCACCACCGCAAAGGATGACCTGGAAGTTGAAAAGCTTGGCTTGGGAGCACATGGAGTGTGTCTGTGCCCAACATGGCAACGGGGTTTCTTAAGCTCCAAGACTTCTGCAATATAGAGGCATTTTTTCAACTTTACCAGTCATCAACAACTAGTGGTTAGGTCAGATATTAACTGTGCTGCCTTTGGATGAAAAAGCAGCTGAGTGTATGTGGCTGCCTTCCCTGTCAGTCTCTCTCTCTTTCTCTCTCTTTCCATTTTCATCTCTAAGTATTTTGTGACGGACTCACTGAGCAATCATTGGCAGTTTTTCTGTCTTGAGACCATTCTTATAGCTCGAGTGTTATGTTTTTTTCCTCAGAGGCCTAGCAGGTTCGTTGAAATCTCGTTATAGTTTTGTTCCTTGTGAGAGGAATGTTCAAATTGCTTTCACATTGCCTGTGTAGTGTGTGAATGCAATCTTTTTGTTAAAACAGATAAGGAAGCATTGTAGACGAAAGCTAATACATCTTTGGTCCTTGTAGCACTCTATGTTTTCCTCCAAGGCCGTGCTTCATGCACATCTTAGATCTGAGTGGGCCTTAGTTGTGCAGGCGAGCGTTGTCTTGGAGGGGACAATCACAGTAGCACTTTCAGTGTGGTTATCAGAGGAGGCTCACACTTGCAGTTCAAAGGGGACATGAGGATAGAATTTCCTGTTGCCCCAGTTTCTGTTTTAGCTACTTGTTTTTCATAGTTAGGAACATAAAATTCATTATTCATTATCATATAAAGAAAAAATAGTCTGGACTATACACATGTTAAAATAGCTCCATCTTGGCTGTGGAAAGAGCAACTTTTAAAAATATCTTTGAATATGAAATGCATTTTTAGATTTCTAATTATGTTTTTTGTTCTAGAAGTTCCTATGTATATACAGCAATGGCACATTTTTAACAAACACATGTTGAGCTGGATTTTCTCAGAAGTCTATTAAAAGAGTTACATTAATTATCCAATGTATTTTTCATGGATTTTATCTAGAAAGCAAAGGTGCATTCTATACCAAGAGTTTCAACTATTGACAGTTTCTATGGAAACGGAACCTGGAGTAGTGGCTTGCACATTGAGGAGCATATATATGAATATATGAAATTAATGAAGCCTGTGTAATTATTCAGAGATATACAATCTTCTATTCTAGAAAGAGGCATATATATGATTGTTCTTGGATTTTATTTTGTAGAGGATTTTAAGTTTCATTGAGAGATTGTGAAGAAATACATATTTGGTACGTGCAACATCGATGTATTAGCATTCTTCACAAAGGGGTGCATTCATTGTCATTGATGAAACTCTATTTACACATGATTTTCATCCAATGTCCATTGTTTTCATGAAGATTCATGCTTGAGGCTATGCATTTTATGTTTGGACACATTTATAATGCTTTTATGAAGATGCCATTAGGATAACATGCAGATTTTTCACTGTCCTAAAAATTCTCTGTGCTGTGTATTTAATTTGGAAAACTTTTCCTGTCCAACTTCCTCCTGCTTTGAAAACAGGATAAAAAATTCTCTCTTCTTACAAATTAGAATTACTGAACATTGAAGCCGGATTCTACAATAGGCATTGTCCCATCTTTAGTTTTTATGAACAGTAGGTAATATCTATATTTTTCAGTTACAGTTAAGAGGAGCTGCAGGCTCAGAGAGGAAATATTCATTATTCATGTTTACCTGGCTAGTAAAGATTGAGTGGAAACTCACACTCAGGACTTCTGCCTGGCCAATTCTGTCTCCAGGATGGTGAATTTACTTGATTCTTTTTGTGCTTGTTGGGATTGAATAGGCATGGCTACTCAACTTAGGTTTGAGGCTTCAGCATTGTGTGAGAGTAGGTATGTTCTTGCACTTCTAGATGGTGTTGTGAGGCATGCATGCAATCCGAGTGACTGGAGCTTGGCTCTGCTTCCCGCATCACAGTGAGAGGATACACACAGCACCCAGCATGCCATAACTCAAACCCTTGTCTCTCTGTTTTTGTGTGGCTCAAGTAGTTCTCTGTCTATGTCTCATTTGTAAGTTCCTCCTGTGGTTTTCCAGCTTACACCATGTCCTGGAAACCCTAGAGCAGCCCCTTCCCTCAATACATAGTACTCAGACATAGCTGCCAGGGTAGGCTTTGAGATTCAGAGATTTGGCCTTCAGAGAACTTTAGGTAAGGGACAATATTGCTTAGAGATGCAAAATGTTTCAGGCACAGCCCTGTGGGCTGATAAATCTATACCACAGAGCCTACCTCCAATATTTAGTTTCAGGTGGATGATATCTATTTGGGGATCCAACCACAGATGAGAAAACCAAGCTATCCAGTTCCTCGTAAAAACCACTCTGTTCTTTCTGGGATAAACCCACCAGGTGCTTGTTTAAGCTTTCTTTCTGTCTCAGGAAACGGCCCAAATCTTTCTTAAACATTCAGGTTTCTTTTGTGATATATGGAAAAGGAAGAGGGATGGGAATTCCTCAGGGGCTTTGATGTCATTTATTGGTGGAGTTGAGTGGGTTGAGTTAGGCCCCTGGCTACCTTAGGATGTGTTTCACACCCAGCCATGGACAAAGGGCTTCTTATTAGAAATCATAACCTATGGATCTGAAAGTTTCTTAAGTTATGAAGAGTATTTATTACTTCAAAGTGGGGAAATGAAAAGGAAGAAAAGACACCATAAAAAGGAAACATAGGTTGGCCTTTCCCTCAGGTAAGGAGAGTAAGGAGGGAGATCTGTGGTGCTTTGGCTGTTGTAAATCATAAAATCACCCTAGTTAAGTCAGTTGTGCCAGTTGACACTCTGTAAATAGTATTCCAAGACATTCTAAATGTCAGTCCAAGGAGAAGAAAGCATTTTTGTTACAATGAAAAATGCGTTCCACTCTCTTGCCCACTGCTTTTGAGGCTTTTCCACTGGGAGCAATTTTCATGTGCCCTCATCACTCCCCAAGCCTTACAAAAAGCCTGAGGAATACACACAGAACTTTGTAAACTCTGTCAACTGGTTCTCATATCACGCCAATGTTATAGCAGAGAAAGTTGAGGCTTATTCACTCAGAAGGTAAGAGAATGCAGCCACAGGGTACCAAGCAAGAGTTGTGTTCATGGGAAATATGCTCTAGAATCTGTGCTGTTGAGGCTGAGGGACCGTTCCTCGTGTATCAACCGCTAAGTTCATTTCTTTTCCATTGATGGTGTTCCTGGTGCAGAACTTCCATAGTTTAGTTTGAAGATCTGTTTCAGTGAAAATCTGTCTTACCACTTAAGAATGTTCCTGATGAGTAACTGGATTTGCCCACATTTCCATGTCACTCAAGTTCTAGTGACAGAGAGCAGTTCTGATAAATACGTAAGAATAGACTGTTCAGCAGGTTCTGATCTCAAGAACAACAAACTCTACATCCCTGGTTCTGTGTCAAGCTGTACATTCTTAAGGACACAAGCCAAGAATAACAAATGCATAGAGATGAAAAAATATATGGCAGTTCAAAAGAACTTAGCTTGTCAACAGCTGATTAGTGTTGGCTTGGTAACCACCTTGTTCATTTCATTTGGTAATAAAGAGGTCTTGCCTGATTATGTCGTCATTTACCATCTGTAACAATTATGTCTTTGGGTTTTTTGTTAAGAAATGTAAAGAGAAACTGGTGTAAGATTAAAAAAAGAAAATAACCAAGCTATTAGGTAAGAAAACTCAGAAAAAGATGTCATGCTCAGTCTAAAATGATCTTATTTCCATCTCATCTTGGAGTTTGGTGCAATCTTGACACCTTTTTGTGCGTGCTGCAGGTTTTTCCCCATTACTTCATGAATGATGAGCTCTCTAAGAGGAATAAAAGTGGTTATTCTTGATCGCCCAATGTAAATAAGGGTTCACATGTACGTGTGCTTATGCCTAGGTGTGTTTCAATAGACCAGGAGTGGCCACAGCCGTGTTGATTTTCTTGGCGTCTGATGGCCTGGCTCCTGGAGGACATCAGAAACCAACAGTGACTGTGTACTTGATTGACACCAGTGGGAGCAACCACTCTCTTGGTGAGCCTGAAAACTTTCTTTCTGGGGTTGCTTCTGGAAAACCTGATTAGAACTGGGAGTCAACTGATATTCACCTCTGATATTGTTTGGAATCTTGCCTACATCAAACTGATGTAATTATGAATATGGACATGGGGTATTCAATGAATGGTATATAATAAGACAAATCTCCTTATTTCTCCTTAGGAATCTATGAACTGTCATGCCGACAAAACCCACTGGTTATCAATGTGACCTATCCCACAACTTCCCTCTTCCACCACACCACATCAGTACTGCTCAATTTTTCCTCCCCTCTGGTGGGTATTTCAGCAGTGGCTCTGAGGACATCTTCTCACATGGATCTTTCAGCTCCCACAAGCTGCATCTCAGCAAAGGATGGCCAGGAACATCAGGGACAGAGGTAGGCATGCCCTTTCTTGTTCCTTTTCTCCCTTTTACTTGTGACTGCGATGTACTGCTACCAGGTAGTTGTGTAGTACTAGGTACTAGAGTATGGTGATTGTTTAATCACCAGTTGAAAAATGAATTTGGAAGCTTTAAAAATACATAGGAAGCCAAGTACAAAATAATTTGTAGAAGACACACTTGGATTTTATATTTTGTTCTTCTTTCCTTAGTTGAGCATAATTTTTATGTAAATATTTAACATCCTTACAAGGTCTCAACATCTTTTTTACATACAAAACCACTGACTTCAAATCAACTTTGTTATATAAACTGCCAAAAATTCTCTGCCAAAAACTCAATGTTCCCTAAGCAATGTATATTTTTCCACTTGCTCCCACCTGGACAATGTATGTATCAAGTTTAACAATTGTTGGCTAGAGCATGTCACACACTCACTTAGAGTTATGTGTGGAAATAAGGACAGCATTTGCTGCATGTGCACTTCTGTGGCCATCTGTCACTGCAATCACCTGGTTGTGTGAATCTGCTGGGTACTCAGGAGTGTAAATTACAGTGTTGATGAAAGCAATGCATGCGACATAGGCCTGGAATCATCTTCAAAGCAATTTAACCAATCGAGTGGAACTAAAGGCAGCAGAGCACACTCCCTGAGGGAGTGAGGTCTGGTCACAGAAGGTGGCGGTCTAGGTGGTACTCCATTTTCTGTTACCTGGAGGAGCTCTGGTAACAGCATGTCCGTGGTAGGTACGTCAAAACCTATTCCTGGCAAGGATGTGGAGGAGACAATACAAGAATTGCACCAAATTATACCAAAAACTATTGGATTAGCATGAACATTATCTCACAGTCTCGGGGGGTGGGGTAAGAAATCCTGAGGTTGGACAAGGCTGTAGTTATCAAAGTTTATTGGAATTGGAGCAATTACTTCCGAAGTCATTCAAGTGTCCTTTGGAAGGTCTCAGAAGAGCTACATCGAGCTCAGATACATAGGTGCTGGCAGTGGGCATGCTAGCCTAAATCAGTCTCAAAACCTTGTCGCAGGGCAGCCCTGTTGACATGGCAGCTAATGCTTCAAGAAATAGTCAAAGAGGGCAAGTACATGACTGCCCAAGAGGGAAGCCACGGATTTTTAGAACATAATCTTGAAAGTGACTGCCCTTTATTGCTGGCACATTTTATTCATTAGAAATGAGTCAATAAGTGCAACCCACACTCAAGGTAAAGGGTTTACTTAAGAGGATGAATCATGGGAGGGAGTTGCGAGGGATGGTGTGACTCACAGGGAGCCATTTTGCAGGTTATCTGTCATATGCAATAATCATAGCTTCTATAAATTGAGCACCAACTATTTGTCTAGAAAGGATAAAAAGTGAGAAATATAATCTGGATAATGATACTTAGATAGTTCAATTGCAAATTTAAAGAAACTTACGTATAAGAAAGGCTGAATGCCAGAGAAAGAGAGAGAGTGAAAAAGAGAGGGAGAGATTCCACCTGCTGGTTCACTACTCAGTTGGGGCTGGAGTGGTCCAGGAGCTCAGAGCTGTATCAGGACTTCAGACATGGGTGACAGTGACCCAAGCACTGGGTCCATCCTCACTGCCTTCCAGGCACACTAAAAGGAAAGTAGGTCAGAAGGAGAGTAGCAGGGATTCAGATATTGGGTGCTGGCTCTCAGAGGCCTAACTTTAAGATCTTAATATTCACCTTAAAGCATTAAAACAAGAATGGGGACTCACAAAACAACAATATTGGAATTATTGTTTCTGTCTCATGTATTCTCAAATTGTTTTCTCCATTGGCTCTACTTCTGGTCTCCAGTCCCTGCAACATGTGTTCTTGATGAGCTTTGCACATGATGTTCCTACTTTCTTGAATGCCTTCCAGTCTTTCTTCACTCCAACGCGTACTCCACCATCAGGGTTCACCTCCTGTGACGTTTTGGCAAGAGCTCTTCTGTTTCCATAGGACACAGTACATAAACCAAAAGCAACTATCGCATTGGGTGGTAACTGTTTATTTACTATTGTTCTCTCTCTTAAACTCTGAGCTCCCTGTCATGGGAGTTCTGCTCAGTATCGCTCAGTACCTAGCAGAGGCCCTGGCACATAACATGTAGCAGAAAGTCTGCATTGCGTGATAATGACTAGCTTTAAATACTCTGTGGACTAGAAAGGAATATAAAAGCCAAGTAAGCAGAAGTCACAGCCTCCCGAGACACAAGGGACAAGCATTCCCTCAACCATGCTAGCCATGAAGTTTCGACAAAACACTCGATTAGCTGTGATCGCTGCCGTTGGTTCTTCACTAATTTTCATGTGGCACTGTGGGAAAAACAAGTTTTATATGCATGCATGCAAACCAGTAGAAATAGGATCTGACTCTCCAGTTTACACAGAGAGTATCTGGAATGCATCAGCATTTCCAAACCACATATGACTGACAGGAGCCATGCAAATTGGCTTTTCCTTCTCAGCCAGCAGATTAGTGCAATATAGTAAATTTGGATACACAGGGAACGTAATAGTTGCAATATATTTTCATTTTAGATATACTTAAAATTCAAATCCCTGTGCATTCTCAAAGAACAGAAGAATATTTGTGGCATTGTATCTATCACAAATGTAGGTATAGAGACATCATAATATGAAATTCTTGAATTCTGGGTATAATGAAAGAGATTTCTGGCTGCCTTCCTCTTATTCCTTACATCCTGGATTCTGTTGATACTTACAGTAGAGAATTAACAGATGCCTGGCAGTAGAAAGTCTATCTCTTATATTTAACCATTAAATCAATGGCCTGTCCCTTTCACAACATTATGTCTTTACTAAAGAATGTCAACAGAAAGCCAATACACTTAAGCCTTGCTCCCCAGTAATGTTCATCATTTTTGCCTTAGACAAAGATTTAAGCTCCCTCCTTCTTGCTTAAATAGATAAGTTTCAATATTCTTCTGGTACCCAAACTATGACTGGCCTGGAGAATCTGTAGATTCCCTCCCGATCATAAAATGTGTTGAAGTTGACCTGAGAAACACCATTTGAAAACCTACATGTATACTCTGTTTTATTGAAAATAGCAAATAAGAAATGGGAGTTGCACTAAAAAAAAAAAAAAAAGGAGAAATGAGGCACTTGTTTTTTTTTGTTCGCTAACATTTTTTGGCTTTGTTCTTTCTCCCACTTCTGTTTCTCATTCTGTTGTGATGACTGCCCAATTTGGGGCCCTTTGGGCCTTCTCTCTTGATCAGGAGCCCCTTAGTTTACCCAGCCAAGTTTCCTCTTCCTGGTGGTGGCCACCAGTGCTCACTATGAACTCAGTACATTCTTAATCCCCAGCTGTTCCCAGCTCCATCTACTCAGGGGAGGGTTCTATACAACTTGCCACAATGTTGGGATGTTTAACCAGCCAGGATTTTGTCGATGCTTTGGGAAATGGAAGCCATTTTTCTTTTTTTTTTTCTTTCTTTCTTTTTTTTTTTTTTAATTAGCTTGACAGAATTGGCAATGTATCTGATATATAATCTAGTCCCAAATTTGTTAGTTTGCCTAAGTGGATAGATTAACTTGCAAATAATTGGAGTTCTTAGTTTTCTACTTTAGAAATTCACATGGTCAATAGCAGAGGAATTTACCAATAATTCAGAATTTTTGTATTCTCCTACCAGAGAATTTTACCCTTCCAACCACTAAGCTATAAAGGAAGGATTGATTCTAGCTCCTCTGACCTCACCTGATGGTACATGGACTTTGGAGATGAAGCCCATGTTTGCCTTTCCCCAGACATGAGCAGGTGATAATGGTTGAAACTTTTAATTGCACATTATTTTATAGCATTTACACTTCCCGATCAACCTGTTTAGAGTTCTTTACCTGCTCTGTTAAAGGAAAATGATGATGTGTAAATAATTGTACTTCTTCAAATTTTGGCTTATATTTCAGAGCTCTTGTGTTCTCTCTTATTCACATGTGAGAATACATAATTATATGTACAACTTCTTGTCACTGCTTGATCTTTAATAGAATCATACTTCTTGCCAATGTTTTTGCTCCTTTAAATGCATTTGGCTTTCTATTCTACTTTGCTTGGAATTAAAATTTCCATCCCTGCTTTCCATTTGCTTGTATTTGTTTGATAAATATTTGCCTTTCTTTTATTTTTCAACCTTTCTCAATATTCATTGCCAATGAGCCTAAAGCACATTGTTTCATTGCACTGTTTACAGAGACACTAAGATTTTACTGTGTAGAAACACTCCAAGATTTTATTCTGAAGATTTATCTCAAGGTTCTTAAGCCTGTGGAATTCTTCAGGACTGTGGGATCTTCACTTTTAGAACATGGATCTCCCAGGATACAAAGTTGCCAGAGATTCCACATGCCAATTGAACTCCTCCCCAACACCCTACCTCTCTTCCACCTCATCCAGACCTTTGTCCTAATTAACCTAAGTATAGGAATGAGTAAAGGCAGGATGCTAGTGATGGCAGCAATGAGTGGAGAACAAATCTCTGATGTGTGAGAAGCACTGCTCTGTTTGCTAGCTCACAGGGGTCAGGGAATGAGGAAAGAATATCCTAGTCCCCCCTTTAAAAGAGGACAAAATAAAAGAATGGAGGACAAATGACATGGCCTGCTATCGTGGCTCTGTTGCTTCCTCCCCACTCCCCAGTAATCTGCACCCACCCCCCACTGCACACACAAGAAACATACATCCTTTTGCTCCCAGAATTATTTCTCCTTTTGACTCCTGCACATTTACAGCGAGGAAGGAAGCATTGCTGATATTGGCTTCTCTTCTAGGCTTAATGTCCTTTTTCTGTGTCATCTTGGTCAGTGGTGTGCAGGATAGCTGCAAACAAATGCAGTAGGCACTTGTCTCCCAAGGCACTTGTTGCAGTTGGCTCTTCCTCATGAGCAAACAAGCGAGATACCTTGATTGGCTGTGATTCCATTACATGCCATAAATTGCCAGCATCTTGGTGCTTAT